TGAGGCTCCAGGTAAAAAGGAACCTTTTTACATTGCTCAAGGGAATATAAACCAGGATGACCACCATGGAAATCAGTATGAAGATTTCTCCCAAAATTAAAACAAGAAATTCTATCCAAACCCATGTATGCTTCTTGTATGTATCTCCCCAAAAGCTTTAAAACATCATATTACAATGTGCATAATCATGTTTATAGCAGCATTATCCATAATAATTCAGTCTTTGAAAAGGCCTATGTGTCCATCAACAGAGAAATGAATAAAGAAAATTGACATTTACACATCATGGAGCACTGCTATGCCATAAAGAAGCGTAAACTTGAGTCATTGGTAAGTAAATGAATGGATCTTAAAACCATAATATTAAGACTAAAAAAATCAAACACACAAGCTTAAATATTACATGGTTTCACTTATATGACAAACCCAAAAGATAAATTAAAAAAGAGTTGAATGAAAGACACAACAGAGAGATAGCTCTCTTGCAAATGGAGAGGGATCAAGAGCAGAAAGATTGCTAAGGGACAAATGGTAAATGGACACAAAATGAATTGAAATCTGTTATGTGCATATAGCAGCTCACCACAGATATGTACTTGTGATATGTGCTAGAGTAATAAAAAAAAAAACAGGTAGCAATAAAAAAAAAAAAAAACCTAGATCATGGGCAGTTTGGTGTCTTTGCTCAGGAAAGATGAAACTCCAGCAATCTCTCATGTTACCCCAGGACTGCTTTTGTTCCTGAGCTTTGGCCCCTCCTGCATGAGCACAGCTTTTCATGTATACCCAACCCTTCCCACAACACCCTATGTTGTGCCCATACAGCCAATGTGACCTCCATACATTCAAATTTTGCCATTAGAACTTGTTGGAAAGTTGCAGGTATGGCCAGCCAAATAGCTCAGTGGATGAAAGCGCCTGTAAGCAGGTGCAGGGACCAGGGGTTCAATCCCCAGGCCTGCCCTGCTGGTCCCACCCCTGGGGTATGCTGAGACTCAAAACAGGCTGATCACTATGAGTCCAAACTAGTAGTAGTAAAATCCTGAACCCTTCCCTAAGATACAAAAAAACCCACAAAAAACAAAAAACCTCCACAAAAAATGGAAAGCTGCAGGAGCCCAGAGCACATGTTCATCCCTGCAAGAATGTTGTCCCCTGAGGTGCAACACTGATCTGACACACTGAAAGTTTTGGTTCTCAATCCATGTGTGCCTCAGTTTCTCCCAAGGGTGAAATGACAAGTCAGCTGGAATCATGTCTCATCACCCACACAGACCAGGAAACATGGATATCAAAAGCAAGGTACAAACACAGAGCCATGCATTATATAAGTGGATTTATTGGGCTCCCATGGGGTGACAGCTGGATGTTGAGGGCAGGAAAACCCACTGGTTTAGGGGAGGAAAAGGGAAGACGTGGACCCCTCTGCTGGAGGTCCAGAGTCCAGTGCATCAGCACAGCTGGCTTCCTGTCAGGCTTAGTGGTGAAAGTGGGCCATAGAGGTAAGGTGCATCTGTCCCCTGACCTGGACAGCTGGCATGGAGACTGGTGGTCATCAGCAGGAGGAGGTGCAGCAGGAGGAGGTGCCACAGGACACAGGGTTGCACAGGAGGGTGGGGCAGGAGGGCTGGCAACAGCCCGAGGACTGGCAGGAGGGGATCAAGCACAGCGAGGGCCCGCAGTTCATGGGGAGGCACAGGGAGGTCTGGCAGGAGGGTTGGCAGCACCCCGATGACTGGCAGCACCCCGATGACTGGCAGGAGGGAACCACACACACGGCAGGCCTACAACTCATGGGAACACACACAGAGGCCTGGCAGGAGGGCTGGCAGCACCCTGAGGACTGGCACGAAGGGGTCATGCACAGGACGGGCTTGCAGCTCACAGGCACGCAGCAGGCAGTCTGGCAGGGGCTGGACACACAGCAGGCTGGCTGGCAGCACGAGGAGCAGCTGGTGTGGCACATGGTGGCTGAGGTGGCTGTGGCTGGGAGGAGGTGACGATGTCTGTAGCCTCCCGCCCTCCCTGAGCAGCATTTATACTCAGGTCCCAGCAGTCCCCAGCACGGAGAACACTGTTGTCTTCCTGCTTTGGCTTCCTGCTTTCCCAGGGTGCTTGTTTCTTTGTTTCTTCAGCCATGGCTTCATCGCTAATAGCACCCTGTCCACACTCCTGGTACACAAGGAAACTGACCAAGCCCTGCACAACCTCTACTTGGATTCTGCCAGGCTCTCTCCCCTTTCTTGAGTTACTTTTGTAACATCCCCAAAACACAAGATGTCCACTCCAGATCTCCCACCAGCTGGAACAGTGCTGTTCCAACAGCCACCCAGCTGACCCTTGCCCCGTAGGTCAGTGTGGGTCAGCAGAAGATGATAGCAAATGGAATATAGGTGCCCATCAGGGATGTTCAGGGAGCCCAGTGCAGTCACACAGCAGGCAGGGTGAGGGGAATTTTTCTTTCTCTTTGTTTTCATTTATTTTTCTTTCTTTGTTTTTGTTTTTGTTTCTTTTTTCACCTGGTCCAGAAGGATAAAGATTGTGCCCTATAAGACAATGACACACAACCCACACGAATAAACTCTCCAAAACTATCTTTGAAAATGGCTTTAGACCAGGCATGGTAGCACACACTTGTAAACCCAGCACTTGGGAGGCTGAAAATAAGAGGATCACTATGAGTCTGATCTGTGTAGTGAGACCCTGTAGACCCTCTACTAAATACATAAAAAAAGAAAATGGCCCTTATGGAAAAAAAAAAAAAGAAAATGGCTTGTACAGTAAGCATATTTCTTGACAAACACTACCTCAGGACATTCACCAACACTGAACTACTCCCCGAAAGTACTCAAGAATGTCATAGGCAGAGACAGCAGAGCAGAGAAAGCCCCAATGGTGAATGAAATAACAAGATTGAACAAGGTCAATCTTGTCATTACAAAGGAAAGTCAAGGAGACAACAGAAATAAGTCAGGAATCAGTCAGTCTGTATCAGCATGGAAATGGAAGGACAGAGCAGGAGACCACTACAAAATTACAACTCAAATTTCTGTCCCAGCTGGAACCCCCATGGCTGCACTCTTCTTGAGACATGCTGGCTATCATTGGCTCTGTTCCCACCTTAGTCCTCAGCTCTGTAATAAAAATCTATGCCTTTGGGAACCACAGCCGAAGAAGAGATGTAGTGGTTCTGGAATAAGAACATAGGTTCAAACCATCCTGATCTGCCTATGTCACAACTTACAGTTGGTCTCCTCTCATGATGGTGTCCATTTGCCAAAGTGGCAATGGTATGGCCTTGAGAGGAGGGGGTCTCTCTATTTTGTGTGTTGGCCCTATTGTGCCCTAGGAACTTTGAATCTTATTGGGAATTTGCGAAGACTTTGTGTCTGGGGCCAACACTGCTCTACACAGGAAAGTCTGTATCACACTTAGAATGGGAGCTGTCACTTGGTGTAGGACCTGGGAAAAGGGCTGAAGACGTCCCAGCTCTAACAATCTGTGTTGTCCTGTGCAGGGCTCGCGGCCATGCAAAGAGCTGACATTTCAAGCATCATCTTCCTACAAATTAATGGTCACAAAATACTTTACCTTCATGTTTGTCACTCTTATATCCAGCCAACAGTTACCTGATCTTTCTGGATCCTTCTATGTTTGCAGATCCCACTTAGCCCAGTAAACTGGTTTATCAAACAACAATAATAGAGGGGGTCTGGTTTTTCCATTGTTTCTCATGATGGAATGGTTATAAAAACACCCTTTTCATGCCCATAGCTTAAATTATACTTTGATTCTAGAAGCCTTTGTTCCCTCTCCAGATGGTGTTTTTTTCAAATGTATTTAGTACAGGGTCTACAGCATCTCACTACACAGATTGGACTTGTAGTGATCCTTCCTATTCTTCAGCCTCCCAAGGATTGCACTGGGATTATAGGTGCATGCCACCATGCCCAATCTCATTCAGTGTCTCAGCATACTCCAGGGGCAGACCCAGTATGGCATGAGGATTGAACCTGGGTCCATGAATCTTCCTAAGCAGGCACTTTAATCTGCTGAGCTATCTGGCTAGACCTCCACATTGGGCTTTCATTTGTACTAAGGATCAGCTTTTGCATCCTTCCCCCAAGACATCAGAAACAATGCCACCTCTGTGGTTTCTGCTATGGGGACTGGGAGGTGAGGCTTTGGGTGCCACTGCCTGTGGTTGCTGGATTAAAGGACAGTGCTGTTCACTGGTCAGAGATCAGGGTCTTTAGCATCCACACAGTGTGACTGAAAGAAAGGAAGTTGGAATGGAAGGGAATTGTCCTGCTCAGCTAAAGGAAGATAAATAGAATGGGTTGAGTCTCTGAACAGGTGCACTAAGAAGAAGAGACATGACTTTTGATACCAGGGGAAGATCCAGAAATTATCATTAACTATTTAAAGCTATGTTTTTGTTTCTGGTTGGCTTTTGTTTTGTTCTGTTCTGTTTTTGCATTTATGGTGAAAAATCCCTTCTAATGTCATGTTTTCTAAACCAAGTTCAGGTACCATCATTTCTTAAACAAATAAAATACTAATCACAAAAGATTACAACTCAAAACTGTGGTGTGTTCAAGATACAATGGTAAAAAATTAATCTTTTTCTCATAAAATCAGAAACTTTTTTATTGTCACAACTACTGTTCAATATACTACACCAAATGTTGTCCAGACAAATCACACAACAAAGAGAAAGGAAAGCAATAATAATGGGAAAGGCAAAGGTGAAATCATCCTTCTTCATGGAGGACATGATATTTTACATGGACGACACAAAAATCTCACCAGAAGACTCCTACAAGCAATAACCAACGTCAGCAGCGTAATGGGGTACAGAATACACACGTAAAACCCAAAGTGCTCCTATATGGCAATAACGAATCCACTGAAAATCAAACAAGGAAACAAAACTGTTCATAATAGCATCAAGTCTGGACATGGTGGTGCACTCCTGTAATCCCAGCACTCGGGAGGCTGAGTCAGGAGGATCACTGTGAGTTCAAGGCCAGGCTGGGCTACAAAGTGAGCTCAAGACCAGCCTGGAACTGCATAGTGAGACCCTACTTCGAACAGACCAAGAAAGAAAATGAACTTTGGGACAAAACTACAATACTCTTTTTTGTTTTTGTTTTTTTATTTTTGCAGAATCAGAGATTGAACTCAGCCCTTTGTGCTTGCCAGGGAAGCGCTTATTCCACTGAGCTATCTCCTCAGTCCCTACAATACTCTTAAAAAGGAAATTCAATGGGAAATCATAAAATTGAAAGACATCCCTGTTCCCGGACAAGCAGAAATAGTATTGTCAAAATGGTCCCACTTTCAAAACTGATATGTAGATCGAATGCAACTCCAATCTAACTACTAACAGTGGTACTCATACAGTTAAAGAAAACAATCCTAGAATGCACTGGGAGCCAGAACACACCAAGAATAGCAAAAGAAACCCAGGCAACAAAAGCCAAACAGGAAGCACCACAGTCCCAGACCTGAGGATGTATTACAAAGATGCAGTGATTAAAAGCAAAACTAAACACCATGGCATCAGCACAGGAACAGACATGGGAATCAGCGGCATGGACCAGAGGATACAAAACCAGTCCTGGGTGCATTCAGCCTTCTGATCCTTGACAAAGTGGCCAAGGATCTGTGCCAGAGACAGAAAGCCCCTTGAGCAAATGCTGGAAAGACAGTTTGTTCCCAGGAAAAAAACACAGTCTAGACCCATATCCTTCCTCATGCTCAACTCTAACCAGACGGGGTCAAAGATCTAACAGTAAAAACAGAAACACTTCACCTACTGGAAGATACCATAGGTAAAACCATTGAAGTCATAGGTGCAGGAAGGACTTTCTTTTTTTTTTTTTTTTTTTT